TTCATTATTGAGAGGAAAGCGTGCAGCATATATTTACATATTTAGCCAAACACTGCTTAGCAACTTCAGGTTCGGCTGCGTTTGCGCCATAGACTGAATAAAAACATGGACGTAGTGTCCGTGATGTCACTTGAAGGGCATTTTTGAAGCCTAAAGTAGGCAGAGCCGGTCGTTGCCATCTTGGCAGCGCGTCACTCTCGGATAATCGAAAATGGGCAAAGGCGGGACCTAGCTCTGATCCGTTAACATTGGCGCGGAAAAAATACGCACCACAGACGGAGTGTGTGAACCTGACGTTACGTTTGTATGCCCGCCCGGGGGCGCGGAAAATTGTGCTATAAAGCGATTTAGAAATCACACAAGCTCAAATCGCGATTTTATGACGATTTCGATTAATCGCACAGCCCTAATTCAAAATATGAAGAAATTATATACAAGTGTATAAATAACACTGTTACTAAAAGCCCAAGTCAAAAGCGTCCACTTTCAAGTGTCTGTGATATTCTAGTCTTTAGAAATGACTTGAGTTTATGAGAAGTTTTTGCTCTTTTAGTAAAATAACTGCACACTTCTAACCAGATTTTAATTGGCTCATAACCCCTTAAAGGGGCCTCACATAGGCACAGGGGCTGTTTCGGTACAAATGGGTATATATATATATATATCAGTTAATACAGCCAGATGGCTTTATCTGAACTAGTTTACCTAAATTAGCAAAACAACATCTTTTAAAGCATCTACTCTTTGGCCGTGCCGTATACTCCAGCTGAGGATGTTTGGAAACAGAGGTGCTCTACTAACTTGGGAGTCATTTCAGCTCAACATGGAATTTTTACAAGGTCTCTCAATAAACAATTGCAGGGGCCTTTTCTGCATTTTCACTCCAGCTCCTAAATCCCAAATGGAAAATTCCCAGCCTTTCTGAGTCTAAGTATAGATGTTAGCTGGAGCGGTTCTCGAGTCACTGATTCCAGACTACGGTCTACACTGATGGTGGTTAGGTTTCTGTGGTCGTCTAAATGGCGGAATGATTGATTGAGGGTAGGAAATGATGAATTATCTGTCTGGATGCCTCATTATATCTCTTTCTTTCTTCATCTTTTCACTTGTGTTGTGTCCCTTCTCTCCCTCTCACCTCCCATTTGTATTGGTCTCCTAATGCTTGTGTCCGCTACTCATTCCTCTCTTGTATAGAATTTCCATGATTTAAAGGAATATTTTAACTCAACAAGGCAGTTACAGCTTACATTTTGGTCTGTTCCTCACACAAAGCTTTGTCAGAGGACTTCTTTCATGGTGCTTTGACATTTTGGAAAATTATTTATTTGTAGCTTTCATTCTGTTAATGCATAATCGTCCAGAAAGGTTGCATAGTCATATAGTCATGGGTTTGTTTCTTAATTCACATGCGTATACACTGGAATTGTGTATTTTATTTTAAAGAAATGGATACCTTTATTCAGCATGAATGCATTAAATTGATCAAAAGTTACAGTAAAAACATTTATAATGTTCAAAAAAAAATCTAATAAATGTTCTTTTGAGCATTTCTATTCATCAAAAAAATCCTTAAAAAAAAATATCACAGCTGCCACGAAAAATATTCAGCAGCACAACTGTTTTCAACATTGATAATAATCAGAAATGTTTCTTGAGCAGCAAATCAGCATATTAGAATGATTTCTGAAGATCATGTGACACTGAAGACTGGAGTAATGATGCTGAAAATTCAGCTTTGATCACAGAAATAAATTACATTTTAAAATATATTCAAATAGAAATCAGTTACTTTAAATAGTAATAATATTTCATATTTTTTACAATATTTATCAAATAAATGCAACCTTGGTGAGCAGAAGAGAC